CAGTAGATGTAGTCCTACAAACATACGTCCTCCCATTTTCACGCCATTTACAAAAGAAAATGATTGATTTAATATCATAAAAATTTTACAGAACATTTGTTATGATGGATTCCTTTTACTCAGCATTCAAACATTCAATGTTAGGAGAATATTACAGAAACTTCATTTTTTAATGTTAAATCATAAACTTCATCATCATATAACATCGTGGGCGGAGATTATTGCCACCATTAAAAGCATAAAGACTATTAATATTTAATTTTATTTAATAATAAATTAATTAATTAATTTTAATTTGTTAATTAATAAATATTTATAATTTTATTAATTAATAATTAAAATTAATAATTAATAACTATTTTTATATATTAAATTAAATAAAATTAATATTTTTAAAGATAAAATATTCATATCACTATTTCAATGATTTATTGATCCGAATAAAATGAGTTTGATTTTTTTAAAATAAATTTTTAAGTTTAAATTTTATGAATAGAAAAATATATAATGAAAGAATTTATCATTTATGGAGTTTAAAGTGATTTGATTTGAGATTAAATAAATTCTAAATTAATCAAAATCTAATATTAATCAAATTTTAAATTAACCAGAATGCTACACAACTTGACTCCTAATTATTCATATTGCAGCCTAAGTTAATAAACCGTTACTTGACTCCTAATTATTCAAATTTTATCACGCTGAAAATTGTAATTAGATCTTCATTTTTAGACAACCTAAGTTAATAAACCGTTACTTGCATAACAATTCTTTTAAGTAGAGGTCCATCGAACTTTCAAACTCAAAGTAGTACTTGATCCTAACATTTGTATGTCACTTTGATCACATTTTCTTCCTCGCATAAAATGGGGCGGGGTCTCACAGTATCAACTATCTTCTTCTTTTTTTTTTTCTTTTTTTGTGAAACAGAGCATACATTAGATAAAACCATCAGACCAATAAATGGGAACAGTTTGGAAGCAAAAAGGTAGAGAAGGTTTCTTTTGAGATCAGAGTTCGTGGACCTAAACAAATTCCATTGAATTTAGATTTTTCACATCAAAGTAGACAAAACTCAAAGGATACCATAATCAAATTTTTACATAAGAATCAATACCCATAAAGAATCAAAAAATTTTGGCCTAAATAACTAATATTGTTCTGTCTAGGACGTGTTGCATTCGGCAGGTAGACCCTGTGGAAATCTCTTGAAATCAGTACAGTAATTGTAGATCATGTAGTTGTTTTGCACCCACTGCAGCTTCTGCTGAGCGGTGGAATCCAACTCTTGAGAAAACCATCCATTTTTGCCCGAGGCCAGAGATGGAGAAGTGGAAGTGCAAGAAGATGCTCCATTGGACCAAACACAACCATCAGCATTGAAGTTCCTGTAAGAAGCAGTGAAGGGAGCTTGGCTCCAATCTGTCTTGACCAAGCCGCCCCTTGTAGCCCAATCATCAGCATTCCACAAGCTGGAGTAGAGTCTCATGGGTTGGCTCTTGGGGAAAGTAACACCTTTTGATTCCATGTTCTTGAATTCTCTGATGGGTGTGCCATCCACAGAAAAGCTGAAACAGATCAAAACAGAGTTCAGTCAATCCAACTCCGAAACAGGGCAAAAAGAGAAGGGAAAATTGGGAATCAAAGATTTTTGGAGTAATATCAGGTAATTACATAATGCGTTGGGGATTCCAGAGGATGGAATATGTGTGAAAATCAGCAGTTGGGTCGAACCAGAGATAAAATTGCTGTTCTCTGTTACCCTTTCCTTGACTGAATACATTAGTGTGAAGAATGTAAGGATCCCCACTCAAATTTCCCAAGAACTCGAAATCAATCTCATCCCATGTAGATCCTGGTGACTTCATCTGGAGATAAATACATAGTTTATTAGAGGAACTAACTGAAGGCAATAGTTATAGAAAATGAAAGGTAGAATTGTGCCAGAGGACTTACATAGAAGGTGGTGACCGTGCCAGCAGAGTTGCCGGGGACAAGTTTGAGCTGCATATCAAACTTGCCAAAGAGATATTGATTCTTGGACTGGAAGCCTGAGCCAGAGGCTTTGTCAAGGGAGAGGGTGAG